TGAAGTGAGAAGACAGTTACTTTAGCAATGTTAATAAATGCATACTCTTTGTGGATAGACTCTTATTTGCTAAGTTAATTAGATATAGATCCAATCAAAATACATCTCTTGACCAAAAAAAAATTTCTACAACAGACCAGGTAAATTAGTAATCAAAAGAAACAGAGTAACCTTGACCTATTTACCTGTTGACCTATTTGTGAACATAAAGGTAAAATTTTTGCAGTAGAAACCAGAAAGTGTCCTATCAGCAAATGTAGCCCATCTTGAGAGAAAAGGATCTCATCTAGTCTCCTGACAAGGACATGGGCAACACCACAATTTTATTACCACATGCTAGATAGTGTATGGCAGGAGCTATAAAATCAGAGGACCTGTCACATTAACTCTGAAATACTCTCTTTACCAATGAGAAATGGTAGAATAGATTCCCTGTGGTTGAAAGTCTTGTGCCTTTTGAGAAAAAAAAAATATAGATGTAGATATAGATATGGGGCACCTGGGTGGCTCAGTTGGTTGAGCATCTGACTCTTGATTTATCTCAGGTCATGATCCCAGCATGGTCATGATCCCAGCATGTGGGATCGAGCCCCATGTTGGGCTTCTTGCTGAGGGTGGAGCCTGCTTAAGTTTCTTTCTCTTTCCTTTTGCCCCTCTCCCCCACTCACACATGTGCGCTCTCTCTCTCTCTCTCTCTAATATAAAAAAAATTAATTTAAAAGAAATATACATATATATTATTTTGATTGTTTAGAGGCATTACCTGAACACCCCAACTTCTGTGTGGGGCAGTAATACCAGGGCATTATGGTTCCAACTAGGATACAACTGTGCTTTAAGTTAGGGATCATGTGGGCCAATGTATTATTTATGGTTCTCCTCACATAATAATACTTCTCTTCACTGGAAGCTGGTTGAAGCTTACCTTACCAGTACTTATTAGCTTCTAAGTAAAATTTAGTTAAGAATTTGCTCCAGCAGCTTATTAGGCCTTTAATGGATGCTAATTATACTCTTTATGTCTTTTGAATTAAGACACAGGAAATAATTTTACACACATAAGCAAACCCTAAGCTGATATTTGGTTCTCAGAAACTTGATACCAGCATTACTTAGAAGGAGCAGTAAGTTAGAAACCCAGGTGAGGCAGAAAACAACAAACAGAATCTGCCCAACTACTTGTCAGGGAGAGTGGGGCAAATCACGAATCTTTATAAGGTGGAACAGAAGTTTTTCAGACCAATTGGTTAACTTTGGCCAGAAAGGAGAATACTTAAACACATTGCAATGCTTGCATCAAAATATGCCTAGCTGAATATATAAGTCAAATTAATATGAGTAAAATAACCCCAAAGACTAAAACTTTGAAGATAACGCATTATCTGCACCAAAGTGGCAGAACAGTGTTCCCTTTCCTTTTTTTAAAAAAAAATTTAAAAAATGTTTTATTTTTTTGAGAGACAGAGAGACAGAGCATGAGCAGGGGGAGGGGTAGAGAGAGAGCAAGACAGAATGTGAAGCAGGCTCCAGGCTCTGGGCTGTCAGCACAGAGCCCAGTGCGGGGCTTGAATTCACAAACTGTGAGGTCATAACCTGAGCTGAATTCGGACTCTTTATCGACTGAGCCACCCAGGCGCCCCAGTTCCCTTCCTTTTTTAAGTCCTTCATATGCCATCTTGTTTGGAATGGTCAGGATTGCTTTTCATGGCTATTTAAAGGTCTATTCTTTCATGAGCTTGCTAGTGAACATGGTGGAAGTTCTCTCTAGTTCTTGCCTTTTAGAAGTACATGCAAGCTTTCCTGTATTGTGAACAAGATACTATATGTTTTTTAAAAAGGAACCTTTGAATCCCAATCTTTTTTTTTCCTAGAAATCGAGAGGATCTCGCATCTCTAAAGAGGATAAAAAACTTTAGTCATTCACAGGTGGAAGAAATGGAAAGTTAAATATGAGATGGTCCCATTGTATTCATAAAACAAGGTCAGACAAACATGATTGCCTGGCTGGGTGATTCTTCTCCCACTGAAGATGAATCACTCTGTTCATTTAGTGTAGAGCAATCAAGTTTAGAAAAAATATTCAAGGAAAAGTGTGTGTATAAAAACATCCACCTGGAAAGCTTACTTTAGGAAGGAATTACAGTGGAAAATTAGGATTCAGACTCTTTTATTTAATGATATATTTCCACTGTTGAGTTTCATTTTGTTTTGGTCAGAACTAAAAATTGAATGGGATCATACAATTTTCCCATGCCTCTATGGGACAAAAAGAAGAAATATATATATATAAAATGTGTTTGTGAATACAGCCTATAGGATATGGTAACTGCTTTCTGACCCCTCTCCTCTTTTTTTTTCCTTGAAGTTGTATATGTTTTTTGAAAGCTCTTCAGAAAATATTTTTTCTGAATATTTTTATATTTCAGGTAACTATTTTTCATAGTTCTCTTAAGTTCAGCAATCCACAAGGATTTACTGAGTCACTGACTTAAAATCCTCTTAACTAAATCTTTATATATTTTCAGCTAAGTCAAAACAGTGAAACATTTCACAGAGTACATTGTATACACTCTTGGTAATCAACATCTATTAGACGTAATGAGATCTTTATGAATTTCCACTGAAATTATGTCATTATGTTGTATAAATGCCCAAAAGAAAAATTTTCTGTTCTCACCATTTTCTTTTCTTACCTTTCACAAATAAGAAAGAATTAACTAACTCCTGGCATAAAGTATTAGATTTTATTAGATGAGCTTGTATGAAGACTTGACATTGCATGCAGGATAACAAAGATAAAATGTTAGAAATTAGCTCAACTTCTGTTTACTCAGGCCAGACTCTCCAAGTGAAAGAAGTCCTCATACTTAATTAGCACCTAGGAGGGCTGACAGAATGCTTCAGGAGCAAATTCCAAACTGCACAGTGCAGTTGAATGGATCTTGAAGATTTGGGAATGTCCCTTGCCTTAATCTCTTTCAGCATAACATAGAGAGCCTGGGTGGTTCAGTCAGTTAAGCCTCTGACTTTGGCTCAGGTCGTGATCTCACAGCTCATGAGTTCGAGCCCCACATCCAGCTCCGTGCTGACAGCTCAGAGTGTGTAGCCTGCTTTAGATTCTGTGTCTCCCTCTCTCTCTGCCCCTTCCCTGCTCACACTCTGTTTCTCTCTCCTTCAAAAATAAATAAACATTCTTTAAAAATGTGCTTAGTGAGTTTCTTCTGGGTGAATGTAACAGTGTGAGCACTTACCACTCATAGGGCACACTGATGCATAGGAGTTTTGACCCTTTTTGTTTGTTTTGGGGGCCTACAAATAAAGATAAGCTAATATCTAGCCATACTAATGTGTGTTATTCAAGCTTTACAATTATGAGCTCTTTTAAAAAGTTTATTTATTTTGAGAGAGAGCATGCAGGAGGGACAGAGAGAGAGAGAGAGAGGGAGAGGAGAGAGAATTCCAAGGAGGTTCCATGCTGTCAGTGCAGAGCCCAATTCTCGGCTCGATCCCACAATGCCATGAGATCATGACTTGAGCCCAAACCAAGAGTCAGATGCTTAGCTGACTGATCCACTCAGGCGCCCCATGATATAAGCTTCTATGCTTAGGAAGAACAGTTATAAAACATAATTTAACTACATAAATTTTGCTGTGGTACATATACAGATATTAAAGTTGAATACATGAAGACATTATCAAAGGCATGTAGACTTATCGTATAGTCTGTAGAGGAGCTAGAGCTGACATGTAGCTCCTTCCTGGTGAATTAACAGGCCATATGACTGCCATTTGATTTTATTTGGTTGAACATATTAAATCCTTTACCACTTTTTTGTGTCTTAGATAATGTTTTGTTATTAAAAACCACCTCAGTTTGAAGCCAGCCTTTTCTGTTCTTTTTTTTTTTTTAATATTTTACTTATTTCTGAGAGAGACCGCATGAGCAGGGGAGGGTCAGAGAGAAAGAGGGAGACAGAATCCGAAACAGGCTCCAGGCTCTGAGCTAGCTGTCAGCATAGAGCCTGACGTGGGGCTCAAACCCACAAACTGTGAGATCATGACTTGAGCCAAAGTCAGACGCCCAACCGACTGAGCTACCTAGGCGCCCCCAGCCTTTTCTGTTCTAACATAAACAGTAAGTGAATTTGTTTATTCATAAATGAGTATTTACCTTTTTCTGGATTTATAGCCTTGTATTCCTAACCACACTAGCAGAGAATTTTTCTTCTGGGCTCTTGAATATTTACTTGGTTGTGTCAATGATTAATGTGGGATTTCATCTCTAGGTTTTCAATTTGTTTTCAAATTACTTTAAACAATTTAGCTAGTTTCATGTATCTTCTCAAAACATTGCTAAGTGCTAAATAAATTACTCCTTCACTTGCTGACCCCTTTTGCATGAAAATATTACAGAAACCCAGTGAATGGTAAATGAGGCTATGAGCTGAGGGAAGAGGAGAAACCTTCAGAAAAAACTCTTTCCTTGAACATGAAACCCGGAATTAGAACTGTTTCTCCTTAGTCTGCTGAGGAGTAGAAAGAAAAGAATGAACAGCAAAATAAAGATGGGGCAAAGAGGTGATTCTTGAGCCTGTAAATGCCACATAATAAAATGGACCTCTTTGGAAAGTTGGCTTGGCATGGGAAACACTTTGTTTTTTATTACAGGAAAAAATCTATGTCTTGAGCTAAGATTATAAACATCTTCACTTCCAGTAGCCTCAAAACTAGAGATTGTTCAAGGCAAAGTTAAGATGGCTTTATTATAGCCTCTGGAAGAAAGAGCCTTACTCTTCATACCTCTTTGACAAGAGCCAATAATTTCTGGTAGAGGTAAAGGTAATTGCTGTAGAGGTAGTGTTTGTTTTAACTGACGTTGTCATGGTTGACCATGTTCTTGTGTGTTGAAACAGTTTTATCTCCAAACTTCCAAGTAGCTTTATTTAAGAAACAATTCTTCAAATGGGGTAAACGATGACAGTTCCACTTTGGTGTTGCAGATCTTGTGAAGCCCCCGGGCAGCTCTGCACAGGCGCCAGCCGATTTACCTTTAGCTGCCAACACAGCACCACCAGCCACCCAGGGGGATTCATCCTCCGCTGCTCCACCTCCTCCCTATCAGCTAATTAACCTTCCACCACACCTAGAAACTGTTGGCATCCAGGAAGACCCTCAAGACTACCTCTTGCTAATCAACTGTCAAAGCAAGAAGCCTGAACCCACTAGGTAAATGCCTGTGTGTGTGTGCGCGTGTGCGCGCGTGTGCGTGTTTGTGCATACTTGGGATCCTACCTTTAAACTTATACAATTATGATTTGAAGGCTTAAAAGAAACCCAGCTCTACAGGTGTGTCACTTAGGCTTACTATATTTCAGGTTATATTCCTCTAATAATCTGATATTCAGGAGTTTTATTGAAGAAACACATTCTCTAACGTCTTTGGCAAAGAACACTTGTACCTACAAGGCTCTTTTGGAAATCTGTCTCCTGTTTCATAGTCTTTGTTACAGACTCACAGTATTACTTGCTTAACAGATTTCACTGATTTATAAATGGTGATCTTGCTCCATTTCTTATGTGATTGTAAACCAGCCAAGGGTCATCTTTTGTTTCTGAAGAAGGAGAGGAATACCTACTACTAGAAGATTTTGAAAGCAAAACGATTCCATTGCAGTGAGTGTGTTGTGGTTGCTTTGGATCTGTGTGAGAAATTAATTATACAGGTAAAATCCCAGTATAGCAAATTCTATGGAATATATAAATTGGTTTTTAGTGAAATTTGATGAAATCAAATCAATCAAGTGTATTGCTAAAAGCTATACAACTTTCCAGTCATCACACCTAGCCATGAAGCAGAGCTTACCCCAAAGCTCTGACTTTATACGTTTCTAAGTAAAAACAAATATATCGATTTCAGTGCTTGCCCAAAGGTATCATAAAGCCTTTCTCAGATCCTTGATTTCCCCATCATCTCCCTTCCTGCTTCTTTCTTTTCTTCTAAGCTATACAGTAGTTTCATTTGATCACTCTTGTCATTTTCTATTGATTAATTGGAAGGCCAGAGGTAATGGTGAGAATTGGAGCCAGAAAATGAAGATCAGGAAGCCCGTGTCTGCCATCAGTAGTGTTGTGGCAACTAGTAATGTTGGGGATTTTTATGTCCTCCTCGTTTGCGGTATATAAAAGTGGGAATGAATTTCTGATGTGAAAGATACTTTTTTTCAAAACAGAGTGATTGAATTAAGCATTATTTTATAACAAAAAGTTGTTGTTAACTGTTTTCACGGAGAAAGTGACTGTTACCAGACTGATGGTACAAAGTGCATATTCAACAATTTTTATATAGAATTTGTCAAGAACCACAGATTAGGTTGTTGTGAATTATTTTCTTCAAGATAATGGAATACAAACATTCTACCGATGGGTTTCTAGATATTTGTTGTAATGGGATTTTACCTGTAAGAACAACAAAAAAAAATCTTTATAAATCAGCACTAGTTAATAATATCAAATTCTAACTTGATTTTGCTTGTTTGCTGTGAGTATTTAAAATTACACATTCGCAACTTTGTTACCTATGCTACTAACTAAGATTTTATTTTGTAGAGATTCACAATTATTTTTCATTATCAACTTTTTAAAAGCCAACAGCTAAGTGATAGTTTTCAGTACTTGTTATATGGTATCTTTCATTGATCTCATTGGTATTACAGCTTTCCTGTTATAGTAGAAATTCTGCTCAGAATCCCTGCTCAGGTATATTTTGTATCTATCTATTTTGCAGAAGTGACAGTTAATTGACAGGTATTTATGAAGTACCCACTATGTGCCCACTGTCTTGCTAGGTGCTGTGAAGGAACAGACTAACTACATAAGCCACCTCAGATACAGTCACTGTCAGAGTTTACAAGCAAAGCTTTTGAAAAAGTCAAAACATGCAAACATTAAGTGTCTGCAGGTGAAGGCAGGAGAATTGCTTTGCAAACCCTTGTTCATCCAGCAGGACTCTGGATTCAGCTCAGACATCTACTCCTCTGGGAAACAGTCCCCCAAACTCCCAGGCTGAACTAAATGCCTCTGTGGGTTTTCATAGCATCCTGGTCTTGTCTCCTTATTTGTGTTTTACCTCAGAATTGGAAATAGTTTGATATATTTAATTTATTCTTCACCAAACCATAAACTAGTCAAGGGTAGTGAACTTACTACTTGTACTTCTAGCTTTTCTTAACCCACATGTTGAATTAAGTGAAGTGCAAATTTAGCATATGTGTAGATGCATTAGAAATTCCTAGAAGGGACAGTGCAAGTGTTTTTAAGATAGAGGGTGTGGGGCACCTGGGTGGCTCAGTCGGTTGAGCGTCCGACTTCAATTCAGGTCATGATCTCACGGTTTGTGAGTTCAAGCCCCATGTCAGGCTCAGAGCCTGGAGCCTGCTTCAGGTTCTGTGTCTCCCTCTCTCCCTCTGTCCCTCCTCCACTCACTGTGTGTTTCTCTCTCTCTCAAAAATACAAGTTAAAAAAAATTTTTTTAAATAAAATGGAGGGTGAAACGTTTCAAAGGAGAAGTAGGATTTGAACTACACTTGTTGGTGAGAGAAAAGGACTCTGTCATTAGCAATCTACATAAAAATCATTTGAGAGAAAGGCGAGGTGAGAGTGAGGGGTAGGAGGAAGCAAGTAAGAGGAAAGCCTACCCAGAGTAGAGGGTTCCACTGGGCGAGAGTCAGACAGAAGATAGGGCATTCAGGTAGAGCCAGCGAAGGTAGCCTCAGTACAAGTGGAGTTGCCTGTGGGCTTTTTTGTAGTTCCCACAGCCTCCTGGGACTCTTAACAGTATTTTCTCCTATCAGATGAGCGATATGAAAACCATATTCTGAAACTACTGACCTTGTAGCAACATAACAGTATGGTCTCTTGGGTTCATAGGAAGAGGGAGAAATTGGAGGAAGGAGGCCCACTGGGATTTCTTAGGAGGGTTTGGTGGTATGGATCCTAGCAGAGACCCAGGCCTGAACTTGGGGTGGTGACAGTGGGAACAGAGCAGGAAAACAGTTACTTGGTTAGGAAGAAGGAGTTGGTGCCTGAGGGATGGTGGAGATCAAAGAGAGTGAATCAAAGCTGATTGCACTTTGAGCTAGAGAATCTGGATAAAGACATTTCTTTTAATGGCAAGTAGAAAGTACAATCCATTTCAGAAGTAAGTTGAATTTGGCTTGGTATGCATAAGCAGGGTAATGCTGGGGTAACCAAGTAGAGCTATATTTGAACAGTTTGAAAATATGGGGCTCAGAGTTTGGTGAGAAGATGGGAGTTGTCAGCATTCAGAATGTGAAGTTATGAGAAAGGCGGAGTTTTAAATGGTATGTGTGATAAAAGAATCAGAAGATTGGATTCTGTTGGCTCTTCCCAAGTGGGGACACTGGGAGAAGGAGCCAGTCGGTGAACAAGGGAGTAATCAGCAGGGGAGAATGGAAGTGAGGGTGTAGCAGTATGGATTCCGTGACACCAGTGGTGGAGAGTTTGAAGGAATACATGTGATACACAGTGCCACGTATTACTAAGCCATCAGGGAAGATCAGACCTTAAAACAGCTCTCCAAGTTAAGTTTTAAAAGATTAAATTCAAGTTCCTACAGGACTTTGGACAACACTCATAAGAAGTTAAGTTATCTTATTAACCGTTAAGGAAGTGCAATGTGCTGGTATTGTTAGTTTCATATTGGCTTTTACCCAAATTTTGTGGTACCGCAGAAAGCAGAGACTAGAAATGTACCCCAAAACTTTAAATGTATTCTAATGAGATTTCTCAAGGGTAATTATTTTTTGGAGTTGGCAAACTCTCTGGGTTGTATTTTGATGGTCTTTATAGTATTGGCTGAATGCTTGTTAAAGAAAATTAGTGGAAAGGAAGATACACAAACCTTTCGAGCTGCCACCTCCTTATAGGTCATACTGAATTTATTCAATACCAGGTAATCATTAGACTTACCGTCTTACAGAACAACAAATTTGCCACAGGTGGCCTAAAGAGCAATGGACCAGCTTGATAAACTGCACTGGCACGAGGCTTCTGCATGCTCTTCAGGGGAAATGATTTTCCTTGTGTCTATGCCTCAATCATTTACCTTTCTCAGAGTTTTGTACCTTTCTAATTCCAGCGCTTCAGGTATCGTGGATTTGATAGGTGGAGTTGGGGGTGTGGGCACGTACAGGGCAGGAATTAGGGAGAATGCTTTTGGTGGTTTTGTGGTGGTGGTTTTATTATCTGGTGTATAATCATAAAAACTAAGGAACATTCATGCTTTAAATCTATGGATCACACCAAAAAAATCTAATGAAGAAGCCATGTAGTTTGATTGCTAAACTATATTTATTAAAATGTAGCCTTCACTGTGTTTTATTTTCTGTCATTAACAATTTTTATTTAGAACACATGCTGATTCTGCAAAATCCACCTCTTCTGAAACAGACTGCAATGATAACGTCCCTTCTCATAAAAATCCTGCTTCCTCCCAGAGCAAACATGGAGTGAATGGCTTTTTCCAGCAGCAAATGATGTATGACTCTCCACCGTCTCGTGCTGCATCTGTCTCTGTAGACTCCAGCCTCTATAACCTGCCCAGAAGTTACTCCCACGATGTTTTACCAAAGGTGTCTCCATCAAGTACCGAGGCAGATGGAGAACTCTATGTTTTTAATACCCCATCTGGGACATCAAGTGTAGAGACTCAAATGAGGCATGTATCTATTAGTTATGACATTCCTCCAACACCTGGTAATACTTATCAGATTCCACGAACATTTCCAGAAGGAACTTTGGGACAGACGTCAAAGCTAGACACTATTCCAGATATTCCTCCACCTCGGCCACCGAAACCACATCTGGCTCATGACCGATCGCCTGTGGAAACGTGTAGTATCACACGCACGGCCTCAGATACTGACAGTAGTTACTGTATCCCAACAGCAGGGATGCCACCATCACGTAGTAATACCATTTCCACTGTGGATTTGAACAAATTGCGAAAAGGTCAGCTCTAACTGGCTTCTTCTGTGTTAGAAGTTAACGATAGAAAATCTGTTTATCTGAATATTTGTTCTTTTCAGTATAGAATGATGGTAAATGACAGTCCTTTTTTTCCCTCAGCTCTGCAGTCACCCACTCATGTAGTGAAGATAGCAGAGTCTCAGTAGATCCTTGGAAGGGTGTTTGTGCATGCAGTATGCGTGCGCCTGTGTGCATGCTCTGCTGGAAGGGAGAAAGCGGTGGAGTGTTTCATCCCTGAAGAAGTATGGCCTTAGTAATACCTTCCTGCCTCAGGAAGTGTGTACCCCTCTTTCCTGCTTTCCATGTATCCTGGGTGGGTAGACTCTCGAATGGGACAGAGGAGCAGGAAAAGGACCAGCCACATAGCCCCTCCGAGTCATCCCTTTCCTGTATTTGTGTGCCATCATGGCCACTTCGTGTCACATCTGTTGGGCTCTGTTTCCTTCCTTCCTCCATAAGCAATTTATACGTTGTGCCTAACAAGTATAGTCCGTTCTCATCCTGCCATTCTGTGTTTTGTTCGTTGGTTTTATTTATTTTTAAAGCTCTGAATCTCCTCTCCCTTGACCCTAGCCCTATAGCCACCTCACTTAGTCGTATACCATCTCCTAGAGCCTGCCAAAAGTTACAGACCTTGAGAAGGGGAAAAATTCAGTCTGGGTCACACTCTGAGGTTCTTAAAGTCCTAAAAAATAGAAGGCCAGAGTTTAAGAGGCACATACCCTAAAAACTATGTGGCTAACGTTTCTGTATTTTGTGGTAGAGTTATCCACCTGTCCTAAAGAAAATGAAAATTTAAGGCATCATGAATAGTACTAATATGGGTACTTTATTTGGCCATTCAATACCAATTTCTAATTCCCTTCTTGACGTAGCTTTATAATCTGATTATAGGTTACTGAGATGGAAGTTAGGCCCAAGGTGGTGCAAAAGATGGGAAAACAGAAGTATTTCTTTTCTCTGTCTTTAAATAACCCATCTCATCCCAGGCTTAGACAGCCATCTATTGGCATAATCAAATGCTGGTACTGGTTAGCATATCAGTGAGTGTCCTTGATTTCTGGTTGTTTAATGTGCCCATTCAAGATTCTGTTCTGTGAACATCTTTTTAAAAACTGGTGTGTGTGCATGCATACCTGCGTGCAGGTATGTAAAGAAAGAGAACAGACCATTCTGAGAATCCTGAGAAATGGCAAAGATGGGAAGAAATGCTGATAGTTTGTTTTCTATTTTAGATGCTAGTTCTCAAGACTGCTATGATATTCCACGAACATTTCCAAGTGACAGATCTAGTTCACTTGAAGGCTTCCATAACCACTTTGTAAGTATAATTGACCTTAGCACCAAGTGTATTTCATTATCAGGAACTTCATACTTAGCGCCCCAAAACTGAAGGAGATCATGATAGAAGTCCTTTCAGATCCATATGAATAGGTCTGACTTACAACTGTGTTTTCCTGTTTGATAACAGTTTGTGTTTATTAATAGAAACGTATGTGTGTTTTAGAAAATCAAAAATATATTGACAGTGGGAAGTGTATCAAGTGAAGAACTGGATGAAAATTATGTCCCAATGAATCCCAATTCTCCTCCACGACAACATTCCAGCAGTTTTACGGAACCAATTCAGGAAGCAAATTATGTGCCAATGACTCCAGGAACATTTGATTTTTCTTCGTTTGGAATGCAAGTTCCTCCTCCTGCTCACATGGGCTTCCGGTCCAGCCCAAAGACCCCTCCCCGAAGGCCAGTTCCTGTTGCAGACTGTGAACCACCCCCTGTGGATAGGAACCTCAAGCCGGACAGAAAAGGTAAGCAGGCCTGGCATGGTGAAAGGGCTGGGGGCTGCCAGCTTAGATCTGCACTTAACTGTTGTTAAATCCAAAGTGGAGTTGGGACTAGAAATTCTGAAGTATTTCATAGTACCTTAGTTATCAACTTGTTTATGTGCGGTGTTGCTGTTTGTAGATTAATAATTTTCGTAGGTTGATGGCCCAGGTGAGATTTCTGTACCCTGTCTCTAGAGCAGAGGTTACAAACTGAAATATTCACAAGGTTTGGCAAGCAACGGGAGAAAATTAGGAGAAACTGGAATGCACCTGCCCATTCTAAATGGAATAACTAACTCCTTGGCTATAATCCTTTGTTGACTTGCGAAAATAATATGGGCCCATATGGGCAAATCATCTGATGTATCAAAAGAAGCCAAAAATTTCAGCTCTTATATATATAAGTATTATCTTTTGATTTTAGAGTTCGATCAGCTAGTTTAATATAAAACAAAAACCAAAAAACTTTGCAGAGCAAACTAAACACTTCTAACGACTAGTTTGGGCTTTGAATACAATTTTGTAACCTCTTCTCCGGAGTACATAATATCAAATCAGATTTGAGATTATTAGTGCGTTTGATAGAATTCTTTAAGAATAGTGAGGTTGCTTGTATAGTCTTTTCAGTCTGTCCATATAACAACTTCTTAAAAATTATTCTGCCTTTGCTGGGTTATTATAAATGCTTCTACTCTGTTATTTCACACTGGCCCTCGTAAGTAACATTAAATTCTAAAGTAGCATGATTTGTTAAGAATTCAATATAAAAGAAAATTTTCAAACTGGTACTACATACCCAGGTTTTTAAATTTTGGGTCTGAGTGGTTAAAACCCAGACAACTAGCTGTGTTGCAGCATGTTGTTAGTGTGATTTAATCTTGACAACCAAGTAAGTTAGTAATCCTGGCTAGGTGATGAGTTGGCACCATTTCTGGGGAATTCAGCACATTTAAAAAGTCTCATGTGCTGTATATAGCTTTTTAAGAGCATGTAATATTTGTGTAAATTTCTCATTAACCTGAGTTTAGATCATTAAAAATAATTCTAAGTAAGTTCCACTTGTGGGGAAGAGTCCAAGACTTACTCAGAATATCTAAAGAAAATGTGTTTTGTTCTATTTTGCCTTTAATTAAGGATGGTTCTGTGCTGAAATAAGAAAGTTACTGGAAACAGAGTCCCTTTGTCCTGCTGTCTGCATTTCTGTCCTCTGGGAAGTCTTTGCATCTGCTTTGTTCTATTTCACGTTATTTCTTTCTTTTCTGTTTCCTGTTCTATAGCCTCTACACGGTTTCGGCTTTTCAAGAGCTTTGGCCTATAGTGCCCCTCTGTGGCCTCAGTTCTGCCTCATGGCCCCTTTTTAGTGCCCTTGCAGCTTGCGTGTCTGCTGCTAATTGCCTTAATCATTATTCACTCACTTTAGAGTGCTTACAGATAATCTGATTGTTCTTATTTGTCTTTTCACACCACACCATGTGATTAATTGCAGGCCAGCCCATAGACTGGCTGCCACTGGTCAGCTGCCCACCTTTGGTCTCCCAGCTAGAAAGATAACCATACGCAACATCCACAGACACCCAGACGGCCCCAGCAGCAGGGCCATATCAGGGATGGGTATCTTAGAAAGGGTGTGAGCAGCACAGGCTTTTTATTTGACAACTTTTCCTTTTGCTTCTCTTTGTCCTCATTTGTCTTTAAATCTATTTAGACATTTTTAGTCATTGTCTTCTTTGCATTGCAATATGCAAAAGATTCCTTATTTATATTTTTAAAAGGTTTTAGGATCTTTTAGTATTCTCTAGGTCTGACAGGGCTCATGTACCCCATATCATAATATACATTATCTTATGTATATATCATGATAACATAACATGTATATACTGTGTATTATTTATATTTCATATATATATAATTATACTTCCCTATCTATATGGTGAAAATACAATATATTCTAGTATATTAGCAATTAAGTGCCTTAGTTCTCTAAAAACTTGAAGTGACTTTTTGGTAGAATCGAACAAAGTAGGTTCTGGGTTACTTCTGCAGATTGTGTTCAGTCTTTAAAAATTAAGTGAACTATTGAGAGACAATCCTGAGTTCATTGGCCAGTTGCTTATTTGGCATTTATGCTTAGATACAAAATGAACTGAGAAAGCACCCGGATTAAAATAGTTTCTGGCAAAATTGAGGAGAATAAGTTTAGCAAAACAGTAAAAAGATTACTGAAATCATAGTCATTAAAAAGAAAAAAGTTTTGACTTTTTCTTTAGTACTGTTGTACTTTTTAAATAAATATGATACAAGAAAGGAAGTATGAGAGACTATTTAACTTGGCAAAGTTTGTCAACTCACTATAGAAAGTTATAGCTTTTCAAGAAAAACGTATTTTAAAACCCAAATTCAGATCTTGGAGCAGTTTGTCTTTAAAAACTTAAGCTGTAAAACAGATGTCTTATTTGGTCATGAAATTCTTCTCATGCATAGCGTCAGATGAGTCTGTTTTATTTCCACATTTTGTGGCATCAGATACATAGCTCGATCTATTATTCTAATATCTCTTATTAACTAAGCTTCAAATTAGCAAACGTAATTCTATCAAATATGGCTTGATTAGTTTCAAAGCCTAATATAAACGGTTCAACACCCAACATAACCAATTTCTGTGATTGTCGTCTTTGGGAGAGCCTACAACAAATGAGTGACATTCTGGTCTTGTTTATAACCCCAAATATAGATGTCAGCTGCTGTAGTTAGCAGTACAGATACTTTTTTCAAATACTTCTGAGTAACTGAAGCTTCAGAAACACATAGATATTCTAAACACTTATGTTTAATATACTTTCATGAACCCTTTTGCCCACCACCCAACCTGTGGTAGCTATATTTTCACCCGTACTATTTTTTGTCATGATAGTATTTGTTTTGAACCAACTTTTGGGTCTATTAATAGAAGAGAAAATCATAATTTATATATATTATATTAAATATAGGAGATCAGATGAGTCATTGTAAATGCAGCGATTACTTCAACTAAAATTTATATTTTACTTGAAAATCAAGTTTATAAAGTTTTGGAAATTTCTGTATTTATTGTAGCCTTTCTTAAAATAAATCATTACATGAATGTACCATATGTGATCACTGAACTGATCTAGGCCCCCACCCCCCATTTCCATCTAGTCTTCTTCTAACATGACATGGCAGCCATTTGAGCCTGAGATGCTATTTTTATACGTTGTTTTGTTCAGCTTTGTTCATCCATGGCTTTCTGCAGTAGTTTTGACCATTAGTTATTGTATTGGTTTTGATTTATTTCTGGTGTTTTTGTACATTAGTCTGATTACGTTATCTTCAGGTCTTCACCTCAGCATAGGAAACATCCAGAAGACCAGTCCCAAGGAACTTCCCTAGATGGGTCTTTTTGGCACAATTGATATATGGGCCCAAAACATTTTTTTCAAGAGATCTTTTAAATTTAGTTTTTGAATATGAATAAAAATTAACATGCTTTTTATTTTTATTTTTTGACTTTTTTTTTAAATGTTTGTTTATTTACTTAGAGAGAGCATGAGCATAAGCAGGGGAGGGACAGAGAGAGTCAGAGAGAGGACTCCACACTGAACATGGAGCCCAACTCGGGGCTTGATCTCATGACCTGAGCTTAAATCAAGAATTAGATGCTTAACCAACTGAGCCATCCAGGTGCCCCAGTGTGCTCTTTAAAAACTTCTTTTATCCTATAATAAATGTTTGGGAGATGAATGATACTAGTTAATATAACTAGATTTTAATAAATAAGTATTAAGTTTGAATCTCAAGTCAGATTTTTGGTTTAGAGTTACAGTTTAGAGGAAATGACAATGGAGTGACTTTTTGGAGTGCCTTGCTGGTTCAGTCAGAAGAGCATAAGAGTCTTCATCTTGGGGTCATGATTTGAGTCCCATGTTAGGTATAGAGATTACTAAATAAAGCTTTTTTAAAAAAATAAGTGCATTTTTATAGCATAGCCTTTATATGCAGGTTGTTTTTTTCTTTTCCTAAATATTCTTTACCTTCCGATATATAAGTATCATTATTATCTTCCTCTTCATACAATGAGACTATTAAAACAGGTGTAAACATTTTTCATGATACTACCTGGATTACCTTTTGGAATTTAGCAGAGGATAATAATGTTGTAAATTATCTTTCTTCTTTCTTAATTTTTGAGATGCCTAATGGAAACAGTATAATCTTTAAAACTGCAGAAGAGTAAACATTTTAGGCTAAGTTAAATGTAATTATACAGAAAATGTTTCACTTTGTGTTGAATTTATGTAAGCAGTGCCTACTAAAATAATACTTAGTAGTGTATGAACTTTAAAAAAAGACTGCATCTGCTTATTTGAAACTGACCTCTTGTGACTTCCTTGACCATATTTGGAATGACCAACTTTTGAAAGAGCATTCAGTTGTTCTTAGTTTCCATTTAAAGGACAAACAAAAAATTATGATGCTGATCAGATTAAACACCACCAGCTATAAGAAAACTGTAGTTCATCAACATAGATTTAAGTGCCTGCCAATTACAGGATATAGTCTTTGTTAGGTATTGGGTCTTTGAACACAAGGAAGGTATAAATGGCTTCCCTGAAGAAGCCCACTGTCTAGTGGAGGTAGAAAAGTAAACACATTATCATAATTAGTGTGGAAGGCGCTGTGGTTGAGGTAAGCTTTTGGCACTGTTATCTAAGCTCCCCAGAGGAAAGTCTGAGTCTGAGAGGGTGAATGGCAATTAAATGATGGTAGAGGAGGGGAGGATGGCAGAGGTTCTTTTAGTCCGAATAAACAGCATACCCAGATCCTTTAAAAGAGGGCAGATGGGACTGGCTGAGTCGTGAGTGGGAGGGAGGAAATCAGATGGGAAGGGAGGACGGGAGCAAAGTATGAATGGAGGAGGGACTGCCCAGTGCCTTGCAGGTGCCTGATTCTGGGAGTGTTATCATCCATGCTAATGAGTCTGGGCTTTATTCTGGGTATACCATTAAAGGGTTTTATGCAGGCAAGTAACATAATCAGGTTAGCCCCTAGAAAGCTCAGTCTAAGATTTAAGGATATGATAGAAAAAAGGAAAAGAAAAACTGTATTCTCTAAAATGTTGTAAAAGTCACATTTTTTCAGCGTCTTCCTCAGAGAGTGCTTTGCTCAGTTTTCCAGATCCAAGGTTCTTAGAGCCTTGGTTTAGAAGTGATTAGATGAGAAAGGCATAACAAAATTCCTTTCCTGGCTCTCAGGGTCCCTCAACTTGGGGACTTAAGTGATTTTTAGAAGTTTTAAGGGTATTCAGAGTATAGGTGGAAATCATTTAATAAATTAAAATGGATAGCATAAAGATTAGAGAGAAAGTAGAATCTAGAATGACTTCTAAGAGATCTGTGATGGCAGCTGCTAGTAGAGGAAACAAAGCAGGTTTGTGGTGGTGAGTCAAAGGGTAAATTCCATTTTGAACATGTAGTGTGAAACTACTGTAGCCTGCAGAACGTCCATATGGGGTAGTTGTGCAGATGTGTAGGTTAGAATCTCCAGGGAAAGATCTAAACCGGAGATGAAGATTTATTCATTTGTACTCCAAATTAGGGACTAAGTCACATGATCCAGAGATTGACCCTATAAGGGTTGAAGCCCAATAGGAATTTCTCCAGTAGTGAGTGCCCTTTGCAAAAGAAATAGTGTGTTGCTTTCTCTGTTCAGATTTAGTGTAGCTAAAACCAGGTTGTAAACTGCCTTGGATTTATAAGTTAAGGCTCAAAGGAGTTCTTCTGCTTACTCTCAGAATTTGAGAATCAGTGTATCTCCAAATTTTGTTTATTTTTGCTTCATTTTATTATTTTTATATCTTACTCCTTATTTTCATACTTTTCTCCAACAATCAGGAAAACATTCAAATATTTGCCAGGAAGCAGTAGAAAAGAAGACAGGGCCAGTACAGGCATACTAACACCGTGGATCCTTTTTCACCTTTCTCTCCTCATAAGTGATACTGGGCTGTCATTTGGGTATGACGTTTATTTCTGTCTGGAACATAAATGTCAAATTGAGTTTGGAGGGATGTAAAGAAATAAAGCTAACAAAATGCCTAATTGACTCAGTACAGTTGAGTACCACATTTCCACATTGTGACTTTTGCCCCCAAATCAACCTCAGACTCTGTGTGGAGTAGAAAATACAGGTACATTTTATTATAAATACACTTTTAAAACCACACTTGATACAATTTTTAAAAAATGTTTTAATGTTTTGTTTATTTCTGAAAGAGAGAAAGAGAGACAGCATGAGCAGGGGAGAGTCAGAGAGAGAGGGAGATACAGAATCGAAACAGGCTCCAGGCTCTGAGCTGGCAGTCAGCACAGAGCCCGACGCGGGGCTCAAACCCACGAACCATGAGATCATGACCTGAGCTGAAGTTGGAAGCTTAACTGACTAAGCCACCCACGCGCCCCATGATACAATGTTTTTTTAATTTTTTTAAATATTTATTTATTGCTGAGAGACAGACAGAGACAGATCAGGGTCGGAGCAGAGAAGGGGGGAGACACAGAATCTGAAGCAGGCTCCAGCCTCTGAGCTATCAGCATAGAGCCCGACGTGGGGCTCGAACCCAGGAACTGCGAGATCGTGACCTGAGCTGAAGTCGGATGCTTAACAGGCTGAGCCACCCAGGTGCCCTGATACAATATTTTTTATTAAGAAAGCCAAGGAGAACCCTTGAGATACTAAAAAAAAAAATGGGGGAGGGGAGATTGGTTTGGAGAAGAAATGATCAGTTCAGGGTCAGGTATTAGAAGGATCACCGTGGGGACACGTCAGACAATGGAAGAATGGATAGTTCACAGGCAGGTGGGTTTAGTCACATGATGTTGAGTATTTAACCACAAACATAGATGAATATACTGAGGGTGCAAAGTTGAGAGATACAGAGGGTGACCACTGGGAGATAACCACACTGAAAAATCGGGAGGAAGCTGAAAGCTAATGAGGGTGGGTCTTGCTGAAAAGGAGGAGGGCAAAAGACACTGAGTGAACACCACCAAACCAAAAGTCACTCTGAAAAGCAATTTGTAATTATTAATTGTCACATTACTCACAAATCAACTATCTGTGGCATTTAAGTAGTTGTAAGATCTCAAACTGAACTTAGTAGTTCAAAACTGACCTCTAAACACTGGTTTCCTAGGATTGTCTATTCCCAAAGAGATAGACAATTTGGACAGCACAGGAGCACACACCAGCAGGTAGGAGGTTAGGGCAAGCCTTCATTTGTCCTCTAATTAATGTTGCGACCCAAGCAAGTCGCTTAACCTCTTTTGTCCTTCCTTGAGGGGTATCTTATCCCTAAAATGAAAAAGCTGGATTTGATCTGTAAAAGCCTTTCAGCTGAAAATAAGTGTATTTTTCTGTAGTAAACCTTACCCTCTGCCTCTTACTTTTTTTTTTTTTTTAAGGGAAGTACATTATTTTGGGGAGTTTATAAAAAGATGACATCCTCCATTGTTTTAGGAAAGTGCTTTCCCATTGTAGGCCCTGCATAGGTCAGCATTAGGGGTAGGACCATGGCTCCAAATTTTATCACTCACATTTTAAACTAGGCCTGCCTCGTTTCTGAATAAACTCAATGTATTAACTACCTAAATTAGAAAATTGGTTCATTAGAGACCTCTTCTATTTTATAACCTAGAGATTCATATTTTCAGAAATTTTTAGCCTTCGGTAGATCAGGTACTAGATACTGGCATTTAATCAGCAAATTCTAATTTTGCCATCTATTAGATGTCGACTAAATTTTGTAATTGCCAAAAGAGAAGTAAATTTGGTGCCATTGAGAAGAGAGCAGCACAGATAATTGATTTAAATGATATTGCTACTCTAGCTTCCAGGCTTCCTGTGGTAATAAGTGAGGCCACTGATGCGTGTTAACCCTATACTTTTCATAAGGCTTTTTAGCAGTACTTACATGTGGCAGAGAGTAAATGAAAAGAAAATAATGGCAACTGAATTTATACTTTCAAATACTTAAGTCAAAGCTAGACAGTCAGCAATTCCATAATCTAGCCATCTAATCCTTACAAATTGGTGTCACGGGGGGCTACCAGTATATCCAGGGGAAACAAGTGTTGGTCTTGGTTTTAATCTTGGATTAGCAAACACCATGGCATCAACCTGCTTTTCTCGAAGGGCTTTGGTCAAGAGGTAAAGGAATAGTCAGATTACGGTTATTTAAACACCTCAATAAAATTAAGAAAATAATATTATTGGGAAGTAGGTCCTAGTACTTTCGTGTTGGACATTAGACTTCAAAGAGATGTACTTGAGGTCTGACGGAGGTATTTTATAAATTTTTATTTGATTCAGTTTTCTGAGGCATGTTAGAAGAATAACTAACATGGCACATGTCTTTCTTCCCTTCCCCCAAGTAAAGATAACCACTAACCAGGCTGGTTATCCCACGAAAACCCTGCCGTCTTTATAACACTTTGCTTGTTACACTCTTGCATGCAGCTTCATACTTTCCATTGTACTGAGCATGAATGATATGTGGCAAGGTTAAACTATTCTCCACAAACAAACTTATGTTTATGCTTTAGAAATGTAACATTTCTGCTCAGGGCGCTGTTGCTTTTTTACAGAATCCATTTTTCCAATTAAAAAATAACATTATGTTAAGAGCATCTTCTTTTTACCAATTAGGTCAAAGTCCTAAAATTTTAAGACCCAAACCCCCTGGTTTAGAGCGAACTGATTCACAAACCATAGGTGACTTTGCTACAAGAAGAAAGGGTATGTACTTTAGTACCGCATGCTGGATGGGGCATTGGGAATTTCTTTATTTTGTGATAAATAAATTTTTTTATTTTGTGTTTTTTCTTAAGAAGTAAAGGAGACGAGCCTTAAATACTACCACTGTTGTAAATAAAGTTTCCTAAGACATTATTTCTAAAGTGAATGCTTCCCATAATGTGTGTCTTCCCATTCCATAGACACAGGAAGTCTACTTGTTATGCCGTTAACAGCAGCATGTTAAGTTTGATAATACATGATATTCAGTCTTGTCCTTTTACATTATTCACTTAACCTTTGAGACATCAACATATTGCTTTCTTTAAGCTTGTGAGCTACTTATGAGTTCCAAATGTGTCCTTTATTTGTATATAATGTTGTATGTATTCTGTTCTAAGACAAAATACGGAATCACTTCCATAGATTAATGATTTTATGCCACTACTTAGAATTTGACTGCTAAACTATTAGCCTTTGGTTTCAAAAAAGTGAAACAAAAGAGTAAAGAAATACGTTCACTTAGCACAGTATTCTGTGCTGGTCCATTTTAAGGTATAGATGAGCAAGATTTAAACTGAGACTTAATCTAGTCTTCAGAAAATCACATTGAGTTTTTTGTATTGAACAGACAAAAATACTTATAAGCCCCAGTGAATTGAATAGCCCCTTAAAATGACCACCTATTTTATAGTTTGATGGTAATTATAACATAGTTGATTAAAAATATGAGTTGAATAAAAAGTATGTCCATATATAGTCAGACTAGAAGAAGGAAACCTAGAAAAAATGAAAATTTTTCTTGGGAGTGGCAGAATGAAATGTAACTAAAATATTTACCTAATATGTTTAAATAATTTCCTAAAATATAATTAACATTAACACCTAATATTGTTTTAGTTCTCCTGACTTTAAGGGCTGAGAGCTCTGTGGTATGCACTAGTATGGTAATTGTCTGTTGTGATAATGAGTTAAATAAACAAAGACCACTTATAAATCAGGCTAATGAGAATATTTTTTGTTTATTATTATTTACCTTGATATAAAGGATATTGTTGGTTAAATTAAGCTGAAAATTTGAGGTAATTGTTTAATTAGGCCTTCTCTCAGAGCTGAGTTTGAGTCTTAAAATATTATTGCTTTCTTTTATTTGTTTTCAGACTGGGCTTGAATTAATTTAAAAGATTTAGTGAATTCTGTTTTCAGTTTTTGATTTTAGCAAAGTTTTGTATTTAATACTTTGTATGTCATATGTATAGCTGTATAACCGATGCTTCAATTTGAATAGGAATGCTTAATACTTTGTATGTCATATGTACAGCTGTGTAACTGATGCTTCAATTTGAATAGAAATGTTTTACATAGATTAAATCTCCATACTTGAAAATAAAAGTATTTTTTTTAAAAAAAGGGAAATAAGGAAGTAATGAAAAGCAGACATCAAGTAACTGTAAAGGAATTGGGTCACATTACCCTTTCTTTAGTTTATATTTCATAAATTATTAAATTAAGAAGCAACATGTTGTAATAGAGCTTTAGACTTTGAAACAACAATCGTGAAACATTATTTGATTTAGCTTTTGTCCCTAATTATTTAGCTTGGTAACCTTGGGCAGACACTTAACATCCATGAACTTCGTTTCATGTGTCGAAATCGTTGATCTTAGGTGTATTTGGCTATAACGTATAAATAGAGAGGTAGAAGTTCTTGTTTTGTTTTTCAAATGTGTGTATACTGAAGCTTCTTTTCCTCTCTTTCATTTCAGCCAAGCCAGCACCTTTAGAAATAAAACCTTTGCCAGAATGGGAGGAACTGCAGGCCCCAGTTAGATCTCCCATCACCAGGAGTTTTGCTCGAGAGTAAGTCTTTTTTTAGAATGTCTGCCTTGATTGTTCACTATAATGGAAAATATCTGGAACAGTGGTTCCCAAAGTATGGTCTGGAAAGCCTCCCTTTTTGAGGTTGTGTGAGGTGAAAACTATTTTCATTCTAAGATTTCATTTGCCTTTTCCACTCCTTCTCTCATGAGTGTACACTGGAGTTTTCTAGGGGCTATGTAATGTTTGATCACATCCCTGGGACAGCTAATAAATAGAATGTGTATCTGTGTACTCTTGCGTTTTAAAAAACTTTTATTATTTGTAATATAGTAAATAGATACAACCTACGTAAACAAAAAGTTCCTCAGGGTTCTCCGTAATGTTTAAGGGTATAAAGTGTTCATGAGGCTAGACATTTCTGAGAACTACTGATCTGGCAAATACGGTAGTTTCTTGGCAGAGGTTATTTAATCAAGATTTGTTTAAATGTACATAGAAGGGGCACCTGGCTGGCTCAGTCGGAAGAGAATGCAATTCCTAATCTCCGGGTTGTGAGTTCAAGCCCAACGTTGGGTGCAGAGATTATAAATGTAAATTTATAATATATATTTAAATTATATTTATGCAGAGATATAAATAAATAAATAGATAAAATGTATATAGGGAAGTTAAAGAAAAATGTGAAGTTATAAACTTGCGTTAAATATGTGTTTGTGTTTTATGTTTACATACAGCTAGCCGTTTTAATAGAAACTTTTAAATCTTCCTTTTCATGTCTGTGACTTTCTACTTATTCCCCAAATCATTAGCAATACTTTTTTTGTTTGTCACAGGAATTTGATGCCCAAAGATCTACTTTTTACAATATAGCTATAAATGTTAGGTGTACATTTGAAGGTTTGCAATAAGTTGTAATAAATAAATGTGTACAATGAATGATTGTAAACTTTAACGACTATTGGTGAAAGAATGTAAACGATCACTCATTTTTTTTTTGGAAGTGATTTTAGAAATTGTTATCAAGGTTTAGGTTTGTAACGGTAATTTCTTTCATCAGCTCCTCTAGATTTCCCTTGTCTCCCCGACCGGATTCAGTGCATAGCACAACTTCAAGCAGTGACTCACACGACAGTGAAGAGAATTATGTTCCCATGAACCCAAATCTGTCCAGCGAAGACTCAGTATGTAAAACTGCATCTTTTTTTTTTAAATAGTTTATTGTCAAGTTGGTTTCCATATAACACCCTGTGCTCATCCCCACAAGTGCCCTCCTCCATGCCCATCACCCTCCTTCCCCTCCTCCCCACCCCCATCAGTCCTCAGTTTGTTCTCAGCATTCAAGAGTCTCTCATGGTTTGCCTCGCTTGCTCTCCCCCACTATATAAAACCTGCATCTTGACTTCTGTCTTCCTGAGCAGCCCTTCCAAGTCGTGCGCTAGAATCTTTCTTCCAGTCTCTAATGCTTACCCTTACATCCTTCTTTGTATACTTAAGGAAAAAGGATAGAAGACAACTTTTTTCAATGCTTTTTTAAAATAGCACTGTAAAATTTAAAACCGATAATGAGTCAGAGTGTAATACAGGTATTTATAAAGTAGATTAAAAATTAGTTAAAAATCATAAAAGCTTTCTGGTTATATTTACTTTTAAGAAATACTTGATTTTTGAAACTGTTCAAGAAAATATACTCGAGACATTTCATAATGCAGTTCTGCAGAACCTCTTCATGGCACTCTTATAGTGAAATAATCTTCTATAGGAGGTCTTTTGATAATCTTTCAATAATATACTCTTAGATAAGGCTTGAAAATTAAAGACCCGTTACGAACCTAACTTGTTTCATATTGGCTGTATTACCATAGGGACAAGAATTTTATAATTGTAGCAAGCCTGTGTTCCCCAGAAATCAAATAGTTGCCAGAAAATACTTCAGATATTTAAGAATAATACAAACTTCATTTAATTTTTAAAAGTATTTTGCTTCTGTTTTCCCTTTAATCAAATTCAGTTCTTGCTCTGCTATTTGTATTATAGTAGATGAGTGTATTGGTTATGACTAAGTTCACCTCTGAGTAACAGAAGATAAACAAATAACAACGACTTAGGACTGACATTTATTTCTTTCTCATGTAAATAAGTCGAGAGAGAGGCTAGCCAGGGCTGTGTGGCAGCCCTGTTCCAGGAAGCCTGTAGGGATACCTGTCCCTTCCAGCTCTGTAGTCTGCCATCTTCTGGGTGTGGCTCACATGCTCCTAGAACAAGATGCTGCAGCACCAGCGCTTCACATTCCAAGCTACAACACAGAGTAAAGGAAGAAGCAGCAAAGGGTACAGCCCAACAGCCTTATAAAGAAGGTTCCCAGAAACTGCCATACACACACAGACACAAAGGGGCTGGGAACCAGAACTTTTCTTCCGAGGGACAGGGGGTGGGACTAAAACCCCCATTCATGTGAGAGAGGGGAGGGCAGGTATCAGGGCTCAACTAAGTAGTATCTGCCAGGAGAAGCAGACATCTGATGTCAAAATCTGGAATGATTAACATTTTAGTGGCTTTATTTCCTTTAAAACAGTACTCTTTAGAAATTCAAAATATAAAGTCCATTTCTATCGACAAGTATGTTTTACATCGTTAATGTACTTTAGGCAAAAACCGGTTCCTCACAACCCTGTGTTATCAGGAAACAAAACCAAGTGATTTGAAAAGCTGGATTTGGTGCTTAAACCGACTTTAAAATATCAAATTTAGACAGTGCTCAAAATAAAGAAGATAATTTAAAATATTTACATCAGCCTGAAAAAAATTTTTTACATCAGCCTGGATTAGAATACAAACCAGCTATATCAGTAATACTGTCACTAATTTTAAGGCAGAGCAGTGTTTATTAATCAGCTTCTTCTTTTGGATTCACTATTTTTCAACTTGATAACTTGTTTCATTTTATTATTTTTTTCTTTTATTAACTTGTTTTATTATTTTTTTCTCATTATAGTAAATAAACTGGGAAAAGTCTACATAAATCCTCAGTGCTACATCAGAGTACATATTGCCATCAGTTTTCATCTTTAGGTGGTTGAATGGACTTTTTATTACAAAAGTAACTTTTTTCTGAGATACTAAAGTGTGTCCTTTTGCCTGAAATAGTAAATTAGCATAAAAATCTTAGAAAGGACATGTAATAGGAAAGTTTGGAAGTGTGATTTATCATGAAGAGTAAAGACTAAAAAGAAAAGGATTACAAATAAAAAAGTCAAGGAAATAAAAATATGAAATTGTTTGTTCTTTATACCTTGTAAGGTATAAAACATTAAGTCAGAAAGGTACTTTTGCCTGCCAGCTGGTGAATTTCTGATATACTTAGGTCCTACGTGTTAGAAATAACCAAAAATGTTTCAGGTGAAAATACCTACCCACCATTCACAGTAGAAACCACCATTTCCATCTCCTCACTCTGCCAGCTGCAAGGTCTCATCATCTAGACAGCTCATCCTCAGGAAGGAATGTGATCGTTACAGCAGTATTTTCCACACCTCTTTGCAGGTTGTGCATTAATGGCATACAATAGAAATTCACAAGATATAATTGTGCTTGAACCAGTGAAGTCAGGAAAACAATTTTGTCTTGGAGCAGTTGAGGCAAGATAGATCAAATCTGGCTTACACCTACAATGAAGATTCAATTCTATACAGAACGTTTTGAAGCATGACATATTTCTCATACTAGTGACCATGGATTAGGCGGTGTCTGATGACCAATGAATTGGTGGTGCTGCCTATTAATTTATAAAAAGATCCAGAGTCAAGCATTCATGAAGTGAGCCCTTCATGTGACACCTAAAATTTGAGTGACTGTACATCACTACTAAGGACATAAATACTGTTATACAACAGTAACAACAAAGATATGTTTAATAATTTTTCATATTTTAAAAAGAATTTTAGGAAAACAAAGCATTAGTCTTACCTCTTTTTTTTTAATTCACAGAACACATATAACTCCTAGAAACTTAGAGTTTTTCTAAACTGTTTTGGGAAAATGCTGGGTTAAAGGCTAGAACACAGAGACAGGCTGTTCACAGTTGAAATTAGATCAAGAGCAAATGGACAACCTTGCAGGGCACAAATTTTAACAATGCTTAAGGCTGAAAAATTTACAATTCTAATAATAACTAGATAGAAAACAGGTTAACCAGCAATTCTGAGAAATTCTCTACGAAAAACTTAGTGAAATTAAATGTGTACACCATATGAGCTCATGGGTTACTTTCATAAGCCTTACAATAGTAGGAATAACTCTAGGCATTTCCAAGTAGGGGAATTCCAGGTAGGGGTTCTTTCACGAGTCACATTTAAATACAAAATTGTATGTACACACCACCTCCTGCTTGATTTTTTTTTTTATGTGAGAATGAAATGTGGAGTCATTCAGAAAAAAATCATTTTTTAAAAATTAGAAAACAAAAAAGGAAGAGGGGAATGGCTCTTTGTACTAATGAGCACGAAAACTTGCTTACGTTTTTTTGTGCCTTACATATTATCGTCAAAATTTTTTTAATGTCTTATCACCAGTAGTCATAAAGTAAAATTGGTTTAAAAATCTGTTCCTACAAACAGAGCCCTCACATTCAGGCATGCAGGTTGCTCGCTCATATTACAGACAGTCTGTAATATGTACAGTAGACCTTACAGTACTGCATTCATGAGTACATGCAGTTCCAACCATGCCCTGCTCACTAAGCTGTGAGCCCTGGCACAGAGCTGGGCCGCCCCACAGAGAGGAGCACCATTTTCGAATTCACAAAAATATTTCACGTGGGCTCTCAGCAGCCCTGCTTCAAGTGAGGGAATAAATTCAGTATTTTTCTAGCAATTGTCCTTTAACTAAACTACAGCTTACTCTGTGTAACTTGAGCAAAGAGAAAGGAGTAGCAATATATAAAGGGATCAACAGAACCAGGTTTATGCAGTTTCCAAATTGTTTTGTTCTTCATAACAAGTGTAACCTTATATCACATCGTTATACTTTTCTTCAAAAGTATGTGAATATTCCTATCTCTGTGCTAGAAGACACAGAATGGAAGCTCCTAATAAATACATAGTCCTGCCTATGAGAAGTACAGAATGCTTCTGGGAGAGGTTCAAAGCAGCAAGGCAGGGAAACGAGGCATTTGTTGGCACACATTGAGAAGGACTGTCATAATTCACATAGAGGGCATATGTAGTGGCATAAGTTCATGTCATTCTTTCCTTCTTATTCAGCATTGATCTTGAAGTTCCTAACAGCCTGTTTATTTTGCATTTTTCTGCCTCGGGCTTTTTGTTTTTGTCATTTATTGCTGTCCTCTTTCTTCCTTTTCCCTTTATCTGTTTTTGGAGAGTAACCCTTCTATTGTACAATTCCTAGTAAGACAGAAGGGATAGGACTAAAGAGAAAACTGAAGAAATTAAGTGGTAAAAAATTCCAGATGGTTGAAACAAAGCAGACTTTGCGAGTGGAATCATTGTTCATAGGCTTTAGTTAACATACATATTCTAAGCTAATTTTAGCATGAAAGTCTGTAAATAAAATACAGAACTTTTAAAAAATTTATATTAGAAAGCAAGGAGTGAAAGGATCCAGTAGTTTAAAAATGTAATCGAGTAAAGATATCATTAAAATAATGTTCAAGTGGAACTATTGCATGTAACTGTAGCTTGATGTTTTTGGTCTCAGTTTGAATCCAGTTTGACTTTTGAAACCATGTTTAGCTTACTCTACAGCCTAACAAACTCAGTTTTGTTAAGATCGCTTATGTTCCTCCAATCCTAAGAGAAGATTTAATTTCCTAAGAAGACATTTTTTTTAGCCATATCCTCTTGAAATAAATATTTTGCCTTTGGTAGATGGCAGACAAGATAAGCAGCAGATCTCATGGATGTTCAGTAGTTGATTTCATTGTATCACCATTTTCAGAATCTTTTCGGCAGTAACAGCCTTGATGGGAGAAGCAGTCCTATGGTCAAGCCCAAAGGAGACAAACAAGTAGAATACCTAGATCTAGATTTAGATTCTGGGAAATCCACACCACCACGCAAGGTAAGTGAAATCTCATTCTGTAGACACACTTAGCTCACCTTTTAAAGCCAAAGAATCATGTTTCCTTTGGGGAAACTTTATTAGTATGTTTAATTTATATTTAGTAAAATCTTTTAGTTAATGTATCATAAAATCACAATTAACTAAAGTCATGGAGAGTAGTGAGTTAATTTTTTCCTTTCTAATGGTATATAATAGAAATTATATTCTTATAATTTAGTTCTCCTTTTTTTAGTGGTTACTGTTGAAATGCCTACTTAACAAAATCTTGTCTTCTCTTTTCAGTGTTAACTCACATTACTCCCCTTTTGAATTACATGCTATTTTTGTCCAAAGTTTGAGTTTTTTCCTTTTGTTAAACCACAAGTTACACGTTAGCAGTGTTAGTAGTATTCTGGCTTTTAAAAAAAAAAAAATGTTTATTTTTGAGACAGAGAGAGAGACCGAATGTGAACAAGGGAGGGGCAGAGAGAGAGGGAGACACAGAACCCCAAGCAGGCTCCAGGCTCTGTGAACTGTCAGCACAGCGCCCAATGCAGGACTCGAACTCACTGACCGCTAGATCATGACCTGAGTAGCAGTCAGATTCTTAACCGACTGAGCCACCTAGGGGCCCCAGTAGTACTCTTATTATATAGGCAATGTTTACTTACATTTTCTTCCATATTTGCCACCTTCCCTTTCTTATCATTCCATCTTGTTTCTTAGCCCTTCCTCCCATAATCATTTTTTCTTCCTCCTGAAATACATTCTTTAGAAGTTCCTCTTGTGGAGGTCTGTTAGTGGTAAATTCTTGCAATTTTTGTTTGCATGAAATGTCTATATTGTGCCCTCATTCTTGAAAAAGAGTTTTTTTGAGTTCACAGTTCTTGATTAGCAATACGTTTCTTTCAACACATGGAAGATACTATTCACTATCATCTGGTTTCCATTGTTCCTACTGAAAAGTATGTTGTCAGTCTAGTTACAGTTTCTTTGTAGAGAATGTGTCCTTTCTGTATGGCTGATATTAAGATCTTTTCTGTATCTTTGGTATTCTGCAGGTTTACTATAGTGTGTCTAAACATCTAGACATAGATTTCTTTTTTTTTTTTTTAAATGTTTTATTTATTTCTAGGAGAGAGAGAGAGACAGCGTGAGCAGGAGAGGGTCAGAGAGAGAGGGAGTCACAGACTGAAACAGGCTCCAGGCTCTGAGCTGATAGCACAGAGCCCGACGCGGGGCTCGAACCCATGAACCGCGAGATCATGACCTAAGTGAAAGTCGGACGCTTAACCGACTAAGCCACCCAGGCGCCCCGACATAGATTTCTTTTTATTTATCGTGCTTGATGGAAGTTGTGCTGCTCTTACTTCCGATTTTGTATTTTTTATCAATTCTGGAAAAGTCCCAGTCATTATCTCTTTAAATATAGCTTTTGCACTATTCCTTTTATCCTCTCCTTTTAGGTTTCTTATTAAAGATTACTTAGAACTTACTCTATTTTCCATGCCTCTTTTCACTTTTTCATATTTTCTCTCTATTCTCTCTTTGTGCTTATTTGGATTATTTCTTTAGATCTATCACAAGTACACTAATCCTCAATTATTCTGTTTAAGCCATTGTTTAATTTTTAAATTATTTTTAGTTCTAACAGGAAATTTTGCTGTTTTTGTTTCAAATACGCATAGCTGTTTTGAATAGCTTCTTTCTTTCGTGATTCCTTTTATTGAGTTTTATTTGTAATTCCTTTGAAGATTTTATACACACATAATTTATTCTGTTTCTGTAATCATTTCAGTATCTGAAGTCTTTAGAGGTCTGAATCTGTGTTTATAGTTTCTGCTCACACTCTTGATAGCTTGTTTCCTTCCATGTTTATACTTTTTTTTTTTTTTTTGCAAATTCATTTTGCTGAGCCCATCTGTGGGAATCCTGCAGACTTAAATTTCCTTCAGAATAGATTTGCGTTTTCTTCTACTGGGAAGCAAGCAATGCTACTAGCGGGTGGAATCTAGGACCACCTCAGTTTGCTTCATTAGTCCCTAGCTTAACAGGACAGCCTCCGATTTGGCATACCCTCCCACCCTGGGCCTCCTGATTGCATTGCTGAGATTGGCATTTGTCCTGAAGACAACATTCCTGTAAAGTTTACCTTGAGCAGATCTTGGTGCCCTGTTTCCCTCACACTTTGGATATTTCTCTTATTTTCTAGAGAGCCCAGCAACACGTTAATAATTCTATTTGGTGGTGCCTGGGTGGCTCAGTTGGTAAAGCGTCTGACTTCGGCTCAGGTCATAATCTCACTGTTCATGAGTTTGAGCCCCGTGTTGGGCTCTGTGCTGACAGCTCAGAGTCCAGAGCCCACTTTGGATTCAGGGTCTCTGTCTCTCTGCCCCTCCCCAGCGCGCACACTCTGTCTCTCAAAAATAAATAGATGTTTAAAAAAATTTTTTTTAATAATTTGCTTGAAGTTAGTATCTACTTGTTTTTAAGAATAAGAAGTCCTGTCGGCCTATGTAGTTTGCCATTCTTGAAATACTGTTTTCAAAAAACATTTCTTGGCTCTGTGAATGAATACTGATACATGTTCTCAGGATTTGAAAAAGTCAAGCTTAAGCTAAAGGGAGAAGCAAGCTGTGTATCTTACAGTGAACCAGGTGTCTGTGATCCTTATTTTGTAAAAATTTTAACTGTGTTGGGAGCATTCGTCTAAATTCTTATATATAGTGATTTTGAGTTGAAGGGGAAAACCGTGTACAGTGAGGAGAAAAACAGCAGTGTTAAATTGAGGTAATGTTATTTTTTCTGTGTGTGTGACTCAATAGAACTTCAACAGTTATTCACAGTGCATCAGTGTCTATGTTTTAAGGCTAAATTTTAGTAAAAAGAACTCTGTTACATGTGGGGCTTCATGGGTTTTTTCCTTTGCTTTTTAGCAAAAGAGCAGTGGCTCCGGCAGCAGCGTAGCTGATGAGAGAGTAGATTATGTTGTGGTTGACCAACAGAAGACCCTGGCTCTGAAGAGCACTCGGGAAGCCTGGACAGATGGGAGACAGTCCACAGAATCCGAAACACCAGCCAAGAATGTGAAATGAAAATACTGCTTTGCTGTTTCTGAACAAAAGAGAACTGAATTGTAAAGATGAATCCTGTCTGACTGAAGATGACTTGACACTTCTTTTCTAGGTAGAGCCTCAAGTGAGGAGAATTGAAGTCAAAGGACCTTTCACACATAATCAAGCAATTTAGACTGTAAATGGTGCTTTGTGGTATCTGAACAATTCATAACATGTAAATAATGTGGGAAAATAGTATTGTTTAGCTCCCAGAGAAACATTTGTTCCGTAGTTAACACACTTGTAGTATTACTGTATTTATGCACTTTTTCATTTAAAACGTTGGTTTGGGTATTCCCAAATGTTCCTTAACATAATTCCTTTGGGAGTTCTTGTTTTTCCTTACACTACTCTATATAACAATACTAAGTTAACTAAGCTACTTTTAGATTTGGAAATTGCTCTTTAAACCGCACTCTAACAACATTAAAATGAGAAGTAGATTTACAATTTACCTGTCTACCTGAAACTTCAGGTGATAACCATTAGCTTAAACTACACAGTATTGACCGGCTCATCATTCACTGCCTTCCAAAATGCTGAGGATAATATCTGCACTGGTGTCAGGAACTAATTCTCTGGTTCATGTACGTTTAGTTTTCAGTGGTGAAACTGTATTATATTTTGTTAACTGTGTTTTGGGTTCATTGAGTGAAGATTCTGCCAGGTGGAATCTTGTACCTTGGAAACAATGAATTATTACTCTATCAAGTAAGCCTACAGATCACTTACCGGCATGCAGTGATGATGAGCTCTCACACTTGTTAACATGTATTAAACTTTACATTATTTGCAAATGTAGATTATATAACTAATCAGGTACGTACCAGGCACTGATGTGCTAATACACTGATCAGGTTTAGACAATGAGCTTTAGTTGTGTTCTTATTAGTCCTAATGTTGGTTTCCAATTTGGACTTAAGGAAACATTCACTGTTAGTTATAGCAACATACTGTGATTTTTTTAATTAGACAGTAAATCAGATTTATTAATCTAAGAATGAAATTCTATCTTTTGACACCATAGTGCCCTTTCTATGATTTTTTTAACTTTCCTTAATATTCTCCTTGGCCTTATATTAAATCCCTATGCAATTAATATTTTATATCTACATTTTTAAAAAAAAAAAAAAAGTTGTTCTATAAGTGATTCTCATATGTAGCACCTGTTGCTTTTCCAGTAAAATAATTAAGGATTTTGTACTGTGATTTGTATTCACTGCCCTAATTCGAGAAATATTAGGAGTATTGCTATAATGTGAAATCTTATGGTCATAAACCTCTTCCAACCAGATTTCTGAAATCACCAGAGGAGTTCTAGAATTCCATCTCACCTATATTATGGTCCTGTGATATGGATATCAAAACCACAATTTTATATAGTGAGGCTACAGTAAATATTTATCTGTTTTGACTTTGCAGTGTAATGTAGAAAGCAGGTATAGTGTGTTTGTTTGCTTTTTTTTTTTTTTTTAATAAGTTACAAACAATCTCTTATGTATTGATTTGAGACTTACTAACAGTTTTTTGGAGGGGGGCAGAGACAGGAGTCCCCACAGCTGAGGCCTGACTCCCTCCATTCAGACCTCTAACTGTTGCCTGAATGTGCCCCGATTTCTGGTCTTTTGGCCATAGTACCGTGCCTCATCGATGTAATGGGTTTATTTCCCCAATCCACGAACTAAAAATGTTCATAACAGGATGAATTATAGACTAGTATCATTTGATGCTTTTAAATGTTTGCTTTTTTTTTTTAAAACAAAAACTAAAACTCGGAAGTGAATTTTCAGATGGATTTTTAAATAAAAAAGATTGTTTGAATTTGGTGTGCGCAAGCTGTTTTATAATGAAACCACAAAATAAAATCCAAAACTATTGAATTGTGCCTAAACCATTAAAACACACAACACAGTTGATGTGTGAAAATGCTAAATTGTGTTATGTGGAAGATGAACGTATTTTCAGATATACAACACAACAATAAGTAGTAGTATTATTCAAAAATGGAATCCTGTTTAAAGCAGCCTATCAGAAGAGTCTAAGGCAAATAGACTGACTTTTTTAGTGTTGATTTTCCATTTTTTACAAGTTACCCTTTTAGAAAACCCGTAGCATTATAATTGGCAGAACTTTTCCCATTGTGCAGAGTCATCTAATAACTGAAATGTATTAGGCAGTTTGTTTTAGCAAATGAAATCACATTAAACTCCGTATTAGCAAATTAAAGGATAGTTTCATATGGAGCATTATTTTTCCAGACATTTCTTGAACAGAATTTTGGGTAACCCCAACACATAAAGCCTGAAAAGTTCATTTTGTCAGTGTACATATTTTGGGTTCACATTTAAGCTTATTTTAGTCCATTATTAAGAATAAAATTTGTGAATAACACAAATGTGTAATTGGCAGCATAGACTTGGTGGAAAACCTCAGCAGCCAATTTATTTTCATGTCTTGTTTTATTTGCATACTATCAAGAAAATTTGGATTCACACAAACATAAGTAAGTGTAAATAATAGCAAGTTTTAAACACCCATCTCAGGAGATTCTTTAATTAGAGATAGCTGAAGTTGTATTCCAAGCTTTAAAAAAAAATAAATTATTCTGAGAAGTTAATACATAAGCAGTCTCCAGAATAGTAAAAAATAAATAAATAAAAGGGAATATGTAACACATTAGAACATGCATTTTGATTAAGTTTTCAAAATTTAATTTGCGTCAAACCTTTTTAAAATCCTAATTGCCTGCGAGAAGCTGAGTTTTGGCCCAGTGAGAGTTGACTGAAAGCCACTGGTTAATCGTGTAACCGAAGTCGGAAGTCTTTTTCTCCCACCTGTGTATGATTGGTGTTCTCTACTTTGTACTCCTTATTTTGAAAAACTGTAAAATCTTATGAAGGTTTGAATATCAAAGCACAGTTCTGCTTTCAAGAATTGAAATTTAAACTTGAATAATTTAAGCTACTTAAGCCACAGAAGGTATCACTTAGTAAGCTATAAAAGATGATTTTTATCTACACTATAGTTCATACGTTTTCATCTTTATTTTCATCAATACCATATAAGCTACTGTGAGCATTTTAGAGAATTCCAAAAAGGTACTATGAGTGTGTGTGTGTGTGTGTGTGTGTGTGTGTGTATAGCATTGTATTTAATCCTCGATTTTGATATAGAAATACTCTATACTTGCACGTTAAGGTCATACATCAATTTCTTTTAGACTCTTTAATTAATGGGGGTCACAATCTTCGTATTCATAAAAGCATTTAAACTGGAAATTGAACACCAGTGTTTTTCTTTTTTTTTCTACTAGGAGAAAGTTGTCTGCTTACCCCCGTTAGTGATAATGGTGTTTTTGATATTTTTTAAAATGTTAACTATTTTATGCCTGTGCCATAGACACTGATCATAATTCTTGGATGCTTTCAAACACTCTTAGTGCCTCTTTCTTTGGCCCATTGAAAGTACTGGTGGTAGTAATTTGAATGAACACAAAGCTGGTAAAGTTTTAGAGACAACAAGGTGAGCCGATCCCTCCTAATCCTGTCATGGGTCATTCCGGTAGGTCTTGTCCTTAATTGTCAGGTAAGCAATCAGGTCCATAGCAGGGATTGTACATATGACAAAATCAAGCAGATACAGAGAGAGGGAGACATATATTCTAGGGTAAGACTTACTGTCAATAACATCTGATATATGTTATATGTAAATCTGTATGTAATTGAAAATACAGCTCTGAGATGAAAAGCCCTGGTGTAAATAAATAATGTGGACATTATGGACTTGATAAGATGAAAAGTTGATTGTCAGGTTGTGGAGATAATTGGTGTTTACTCTGACTAAAAATGTTTATATATTACTACAGCTTGAAATAATTTAGTTTGTCTTCTCTTCCATAGACGTAACTTTCTTTAGGTTCATTATAGTGTCTGTTATGAGTTTCAACAAACTGTTTAGTCAAGAGATTAACATAGCTTCTACTTTCTTAACATAAAAAGACATGATCTTGTGTGAGTTATTGTAATCTGAATCAATTGTTGATAATCATCCCAAATTTCAACAGCAAAATCTTATGTGTAAGCTTATTTTTCCCTCTTGCACAACTTCTTTTGTAAAGATCCAATTGTAGATATCTTCTGCTACCAAATAAAACTTTTCAAACAATTTGGTTTCAAGACTTTAGTCAGTTTGGATACTGAGATTGTAAACCAAGAAGGACATATAAATTTATATTTCTAACCCTTCCTCAAGGAGAGTCTTTATCTAAATCAAAAACCCAACTCTGCCATTAACTGTATGTTGTCCCTTGAACAACATGAGTTTGAAGTGTTTTTTCTAGCAAATACAGAGCAGAACTCTAAATGTAATTTCCTATTGATTTTCCTAATTGCATTTTTCTAGCTTTCTTATTTATTGTGAGAATACAGTATATAATACATATAAACAAAATATGAGTTGTTTATATTATCAGTAAGGCATTTGGTTGACAGTGGGTTGATAGTAGTTAAGTTTCAGGGAAATCAAAAGTTACATGCAAATTTTTGATTGTGCAAGGGGTCTGTGTGCCTAGGTCTTGTTCAAGGGTCAACGGCACTTCCCAGCTGTACGTCTGTAGGGGTCACTCATTTTCTGCAACCAAGATCACACTAGATCAGGCTAAAATACAATAAACACACTCTAAATAGGAAAAGCTTCTGAGACGGTTGCCACACACATTTGCTCTTGTCATTCCTTGATCTAGCCAGCACTACCAGCCTTTTGTTCAATAGAAGGCCAGTAAGTGAGGGTCTGCATGCAACTTTCAACATCAGAAAATACTATTTTGTATAAAACATGACTTGGGAAATGATAACTGGCTGGGCTTTTTCATTTCTATGAGAGTTTTCAGATATCACCAGTACTTCATAAAACCCAAGAAGGACCATGTGAGTCCTTTGGCCACTCATTCCAGCATTTTGCAACTCTGACTCATTAAGTCATCTTTGGGGAGTTCTGGAAAGGTAAGGTTATCTTCTCTGAGATCATTCTCTCCTCTTCTGTGTTTCTATACCTTGTAAATGGTGAAACTTCTGAGTATTCACATATTATTTCTTTGGGGAAAAAACCTGCGTTCTCTGATAAACACTTTCTGAGTTACAGTTTTATTAGGAGAGTTTTATGGAGAATAACTTGGCAATTCTGTGAATGTGTGTTATTGCATACTTAAAAGCTGAGTCAGTGATAGGAGGCATTTTATTTACTGTCATGATGGTTAACATCCATTCTTTATGTTCCCCGATATATTACAAAACATTTTTGTAAGAAAATAAGTGAGCATGTTTAGAAGACTAAGTTTGTAAGTTTCTCTACTTCATTAGACAGGATTTTATTAGGATTGCAGTGGTCATGTTGGTGATTAACTCTGAGCATAATATAGCTCTCATTTTGTGTTATATGTAATGCTCAGAATATCTAGAATGCTCAGTGTGAAGGATATAGAGTGTACAGAAAAGGAGGGGTAAAAAAACCCTCCCAAAAGCCCACTTGTTCTCAAGCACCTGTCACCTTGGCTAGTCTGTGGTACCCATGTGTCCGTTCAAACACTAGTTCAGATGTTGCTGTGAAGACATTTTGTAGATGTGGTTGAAGCAGAGCACTCTCCATCATGCAGATAGGCCTCATCCAATGCGTTGAAGGTTTTAAGAGCAAAAACTGAGGTTTCCCACAGAAGAAGGATTTCTGCCTCAAGACTAGTGTAAAACTCCTGCCTGGATTGCCAGCCTGCCCTACACATACCAAACTTGCCAGCCCACAATTGTGTGAGCCAGTTCCTTAAAATAATTCTCTCCCACGGATGGATGGATGGATGGATGGATGGATGGATGGATGGATGGATGGGTAGATCAGTTCATCGATTCTGTTGGTCTGTTTCTCTGGAAAACTGACTGATACCAGTATTACTTAATTTGAGTGCCTGTTCCGCTGAGTGCCGAGCAATGATTTGGGGGTTTAATTTGAAATATATTGCAGTCCTCAAAATTATTTTCTCTTAAAATGTAACGATTGTTGAATTTCTGAAGCCATTTACTACTAACAACAATATATTTGTCTTTCAGAAACTATTAAATTGGCATCTCCAATGAGGAGGAAACAGTATGCTAAAAGAAACAAAGATTATGGTGGCTCAGTAAGTTGAGCGTCCAACTCGGCTCAGGTTATGATCTCACGGTTCGTGAGTTCGAGCCCCGCGTCAGGCTCTGTGCTGACAGCTCAGAGTCTGGACCCTGTTTTGGATTCTGTGTCTCCCTCTCTCTTTGCCCTTCCCCTGCTCATGCTCTGTCTCTGTCTCTCTCAAAAGTCAAATAAACATTAAAAAAAAAAAAAGAAAGAAAGATTATTAGACTTTTGCTGAGTGGGGCACAATATCTTTTTAACAGGATTTCATTTGCTGTGGTGGGGTTGTGGTCTTGACCGTTGTCACATGCTATGACCTTAACACGTGTACTTAATTATCCCCACTTTAAAGTTCCCTTTCGTATGTAGGACACATCCTATATACCTCTAAAACTACTTTTTAATAGTTCTATTAAAAACTTTGTAAAAGCAATGAGACTAAAAGTAACTTACTTCAATCCTTACTCAAAGCAATAATTCTGGAATTCAGACTAAGAACAAAGTACTGTTGTCTCACATTTCAATGCTACTGGATGGTGGCCTATTAAGAATGAAATCATTTTGCTAGAGTAGCTGCTACATGGGTGGCATTATGCTAGGTGCTGTAGGAATCCAAAGAAATGTACATCATCTTTATCTTTACAAATTAATGTATGAAATGACAAATTTATGAAATAAATATTTCTGAGGTACCAATGATGAGCTACTGAAGAAGACTCAAAGTATCATAGTCAAGAAAAGCTTCAAAGAACTGGAGATTGAGCTGGGCACCTGAAAAGAAAACAGTGTGAACAATTTATGTATTCATTTGCTGTGAGTTATATGAGAAGAGTTGTAAAAATAACAGAAGAGGCAAAATATGGAGAGCTGTGTATCTGATGGAAGGATATAAGTATTGTATGAGTTATCTATAATGCTGTATAGCAAACCAAAATGTATTAGTTTAAAGGCATTTTTAAAAGGATTGTCTTGGCTGGGCTGTTCTGGCTCAGAGTCTTTAATAAAGTGACAGTCAGATCAGCTGACACTGTAGTCGTCTTGAAGCTGAAAGATCTGCTTCCCAGGCAGCTCACACACATGGATGGTAAAGTGACAGGAGGCCCATGCTCCCCCTCCTGTGGACTTCTTCATAGAAGTGGTTTGAGGATCCTCGTGGCATGGCTCAGGCTTCCCCCAAAGCCAGTGATCCCTGACACCAAGTATAGGCTTCGCTGTCTTCGCTGACCTAGGCTTGGAATCCATACATTGTCATCTCTGTTGTACTCTAATGGGTCATATGGTCCACCCCCGATTCGCTGTAGAAGACTTACAAAGACATGAATACGAGGAAGTAAGGATTGCTGGAAGCATCTTAGAGGCTAGCCATCACAAAGGCAGAATTGGGTGTTAAGAGATGAGGTTAAGGATGGAGGGTCTTGAGAACCAAGTAGAACTCAAGCTAATTGAGAATTAAGGATTTTAAAGCATCGGAACAAGCCTGAGCATTAAAAGAGTAGGCCATGGGTAGTCAGGAAATTGTTCCAAACCTTAGGTCTCTGCCTGAGCTTAGCTGTGTATTCTCATAAAATCCAAAGCCATTCAATAGTTATTGAGACACTGTGTTTTATATTTATTCTTAATCTCCATAATACTGGTGATAAATTTGAACATCTGTGCATGATTTTAAAAACAAAAATCTTAGCAACATGAAGTAAAAGGGAAAGTTAGTACAAAGAAAAGACATCCAGGCGCCTGGGCGTCTCAGTCCGTTAAGCACCAACATCAGCTCAAGTCATGATCTCCTGGTTTGTGAGTTCAATCCTATTTTTAAAAATCCATCAGCAAACCTCACCCTTAATGGTGGAATGTTGAAACTTTCCCTTTGAGACCTAACCAAGACTAGTATGTTCACTGTTACCATTTCTGTTCATTATTGTACTGAGGGACCCAGCCAATGAAAAGTATAAGATTTGGACATAATAAATAAAACTGCCATTGTTCACAGATGATGTGATAGTGCATGTAGAAAATGTGAAAGAAATCTACAGATTGAAGATTGCTGCACACAGGTCAATATGCAAAAATTAATTGATTTTTTATGTACCTACAACAAACAATTCAAATATGAAATTTTTGTAAAAGTTGGGAGATTATGATGGCATAAAAAATCAAATGCTTAGGAATACATTTAAAATGGAATATTCAAAATCTATGATATAAAACACTGTTAAGAATAAATAAAACCAGAATGAGGGAATATGCCGCATGCATGGATTGGAAAACGGGATGGTCAATACTGTTAGGATGTCAGTCTTCCCCCAGATTTAATCCTTAAATTCAGTGCAGTCTCATTCAAAATCCCAGGGGGATTTTTATTTTTTCACTTGTTTTTTAATGAACCTCAGAAACTGATTCTTAAATATTTATAGAAGTGCAAAAGACTAAGAATAGCCAAACACTCTTGAAAAAAACAATATGAAACATGCACTATGCAGAATTTGTGAGTCATTATAAAGACATAGCGATTAATGGAGCATAATATTAGTACAAGGAAAGAAAAATATACTAATAAAACTCAAGAGAGAACACAAAAACAGAAGGACACAAAAATCGATCCTTGATTTATGACAAAGTGGTCTGCAGAACAGTGGAAAAACAATGTCATTTTCAATAAATTGTGGACAAATTGGATAGCCATGTAATTAAAGAGCATTGACTTGTAGTTCACATCATAAACAAGTATCAATTCCCAGTAAACCATAGACATTGTGGAAGGCAAAACAATAATAAAGTTAATATAGGATCGTTTTATCATGATTTGAAGAGAAGATTTCTTAAAGAAGACAGAAGAATTAACCAAAAATGAAAAGATGGATAGATTGGATTATATAAAAATTAAGAACATCTGTTCTTCAGTAGACACCATTAAGAGAATCAAAAGCAAAACACACTATGGATTATATTTGCAACTCACGCAATTAACAAAGGACTCCTACCCCAAATATATTTAGGTTATAGATCAAAAAGAGAAA